GTGTAGGAGCTGCTATAGTCTGAGGCAATCAGTATGAAAAAAGAATTTGAGCTTTTTTAGTGATAGCAGCAATAAAAATTATCATTATAACTAATGAATTATTACCTAATATAAACATTCTTCATCTCCCATAAGATAGTATAATACCAATACACATTAATAACCTCACATCACCAACCCGATTAGATAAAACAGTTACTATACCTAGAATTATAAGAAGAATAATTATTATAATAAATTACTAAACAGTAAGAAACTAACCCTAATCCATCCCAGCCAGAGTTTTATAAAAACTCACACATCTGTCAAAGAAATTATATTGTGTATAAAAGAAATTATTTAAAATACTAGCTGGTAAATATTCATATAGGGTTTTGTTCAAACCACAAATAGTTTTTCGTAAAAACCAAAGTTTCCTATGTGTATCGTGACTTTAAAATACTCTGGAAAAATCTTTGTACATTTTTTCGCATTCTTAAAGAGCTTTTATAATCAAACAATTCATTGGGATATTTCAAAGAATTACAGATGTGTGGAGGAACAATATCATGACGTACACATGCTTTCAAAAAATATAATCTGGATCTGAGTTTAATAAGCTTACGATTTATGGATATCCAGTTTTTTTAAAGAAATTGCGCTGGTAATTCCAAAATAGATGGTGATGAAATGAAAGAATGAATTAATCTTGAAATCCGTAGAACGCTTTATTGCAGCCAGCGTGAAATAATCAATCAATATAAACTTGTTCAATTTATTCAAACTTCGAAATGCCAGAGATGTTTCTTTAGATTTTTTAAAAAACTTGATGAAAGAATCGGACAAACCAGTCAAATAAGGAACCACAAAATACTTAACATTCTCTACATTATCAACTGATACTGAAATGGAATTACATGTTGTACATGTAAAATGTATAAAATGTCATAAATAAAGTCATGAGGATAATTGTTGTCAGTTAAAACATTAAAAATCAAGTCAAAATTCTTTGAATGGAATTTAGGATGTGATAAAAAGAAGGCTCTGTCCACAAGACCCATAACCCATTAAATATTTATTTATTTTGCACAAACATTCAGCGTAAGCTCTCATTAACCGGTTAAATTATGCGTTGGTTGTAAATTTAAAGAGCCTCAACTCTTCATTAATTTGTTTGAAATATTGTTCAATAGTGAGACATGCGTTTTCTCTTGTGCTTTTTTAACATCTGGCTTAACCGATGTAGCACAGCATCTAGAAAATGATGAATATACCCGTAGCGCGGTATTCATTGAAAAAAAATTATGCCCGTATCTGTCTTATGCATGAACACCTCGGATAAACATCTTGTTGCCCTCATGAAGACTCGACAACAGCGTGTGAAGAAGATTGAGATTTCCACGTGTGGAAAATACAGTCAAGGTTCTTCATACGAGATATACGTGGAGCTTCGAATGCTCGAAGAGATCCATTCCTCCCGTTTCTCACGAAACGAAACATTATCGCTCGCGACTTTTCGGCTTCCGAAATCGCTCGCTCGAGGGGGTGGAAAGGTGAGAAATTCGTGTGAAGGGTTACCGGGAATGTGTTTCGCCGTGGGGCCCGAAATGTCGTTGATATCGAATCCGAGAGGTTGCCGAAATAAATCGTTAGCTCGAGATAGAGAGGAAGGGGGTTGCCGAGAGCTACGATTGGTTGCTCAGGAATGATAGCATCCGAGGCCTACCTACGTTTTTACGAGCTCTTTTTTTACGAGTCTTGAAGAAGCAACCAAGTAGCTTTCAAATTGGAGCATAATTTTCTAAAAGAAAAAAAGAGATATCAGAAGTTCTGCCAATTGTATAATATTAAAATTTCGCTCTGTCATCAAAGCGAAGAGCAAGTGAAAATAAAAAAAGGCAAGACGTTTAAATTTACTTCAGCATTCATCGTGAAAAAGATATAAATTGTTTTATTTATTAATTTTATCTTTGGATTAACATGCAACAAATCTGAGGAAATTTCTCCACGATTTTAAAGAGAAAATAAATAAACTTTTTAATCTTTTTTTTCCGTGAGAGGGGAAGATGCGCGCTTGAACTTTTTAATTCGTACAAATCATCTAAATCTTTCTGAGCGAGAAATGTCACAGTGGCTGACACGGTGGTGATGGTCTTCGAAGACCATCTAAGAAACTGATTACGGGTGGACCACCCGGAACGAAGGAGAAGGAAGCTATTCCGTAAAGCTCGAATCGGTTTTTAACATCACTCTGTCACACGCTCGTTTCGCCGAAGGGTTGTGACGCGCGTGCGCAATTTCTAACCCCATCCGCGGGCTCCTCCCCGTGTCTTACTCCGCGTCCTTTTCCCCACCGACCCGTGATATAACACGTGCAATGGAGCCGCTTCCTGAGAGAATCGCTCCGCTCCATTCTCGTTTCTCTCCTCTCGTGTCTCTTCCTTTTCGTCTCCCCGCTCGACTAGTGGTCCTGGAGTATCCTGGCTTCCCGCCACGTTAGAACGGGCGGGATGATAGTCGACGGGAGCCGAGCTGAGCCGAACTGTGTGCGCGAGAGAACGACGACCGAACGAATAAACGTGTAAAACTCGGTATGTGAACAAAGACTGCTATTAATCGAAGTATATCACGGTAACCACGCGGCGAACTATCGCACCTCTCAGCCAAACGAGACGCCAAACCAAAGGTACAGATACACTTTTATCAGACCGAGTAGCATGGCCGGCATGTTATGTTCTTTTAACTCGCGCTTGTGACGCGCGGCGTCCCGCCGTGTACACGATGGGATAGTGTGCATCCGTACGAATGTGTAAGGGATGAAAGAGAGAGAGAGAAAGAGGAGAAGATGGAAAAGAGGAGTAAAAGAGAGAACAAGATGGAAGAGAAAAAAAATGATCGGGCGAATAAAATTAAGAAGAAAAACGACGTAAGTAGCGGTGTGTGTAGTGGTGGCGTGTGAAAAACGTAAAATAGTAAAACGATAAGAAAAAAAAAAACGTATCTAGAAATACGTTCAATGTAAAACTTGGATACCTGGATAGCACAAATCGGAAAGGTCGGCAAATTCGATGGATGATGCAACAAGTTTAGTGTGTTAATTCAATTTAAAAGTGAAAGCTTCTAAAACAAAGATCAGGAAAACGAATGAAATAAAAAAAGTGATCTCTCACGTTTGTAAAAATCTCTGGATTTGCACGTTTACTTTGCGCGAACAAGTAGTTTTTTGACGAGATGTTCCACTATGATGAAGCTACATCAGTAGCTCTGATGCTACTCTGTAGATGGAAGACACTGAGATTGCTTGCTAAAACCGTTGGCAGAGAATTCTTTTTTTCTCATTCGGCAATCTTCGCCTCCATTCGCCGTCTGAGAGTGAAAGAAGGATAAACGATGAAAGAGAGGAACCTTTGGAAAGAATGACCTAAGATGTCGAAGAAAAATTTAAAGCATTCGATTGGCTATGTGTCTTTCAAAAGAAAACCGAAAGTTAAGCTTACGATTGTGATGATTTTTCAACACGATTAAGCAACAAATAGTTTCTTGAGCAAATTGTATCGAAAAATTGCAACGGCTTTAATCACTTAACTTTCGGAATATCGAAATGTCCGCCCGAGAGAAAAACCAATTAAAACTTTTTGCAAGAATTTGGTCGATAAAGTATTAAGTAACCGTGCACAACTCACACATTCACGGATGTCCCTCGTGTAACATGGCACTTCTGTATAACGCGGTTTAACACACGGCTAAGGGAAGTAATTTTTTTTTTCAATTGAGAGACACAGTTGAATAAAGAATTAAGTAGTAAAATAACAAAAATGTAATTAAATAAAAACAATTATCTTATATTAATTTTGTATAATATAAAAAATGTTTCGATATTGTTTACAGTTTTTTATATATATTGTTTTAGCGGATAAAAAAACCATGTCGATATATTTAACGCGCGAACTAAAACTTTCTAATAACGAAAAAATAAAGCAAACTAAGTCAAACGTTAAATATACTTGTTAAATGTGCCAGTTTTAAATATGTGTGTGTGTGTGTGTGTGTGTGTACCAGTTCTATTTAACAATCAATATCTCAATTTTAAATCTCCCCCTTCTCGTCTTATAATAAATAAATTAATTCAGTAGTGAAACGTAACATCTTGGCCAGGTTTTAACCTGTAGTTTTTCAACTGTTGCTATCTCATAACTGCTTTTTGGTTTTTGTTAACGGGAAAAAATGCGTTACGCATATCTTGATTTCCAGAGTTATGTGGAGTATTCCTACCAAGAGTAGGTATACTCACTAACAAAAATGTATATCCCCGGTAGTCCTCCAGAAGTTACATTCCAAAATCCCTTAATTAGCCCGCCTACTAAAATGATATATTTCACGTCATGTGTACTATAGTTTTTGGTTACCAAGGTGGAGGATTTTGGAACTCCAACATGGAGAGAAGTAACTGGCTGTGGGCACTTACTTCACTCCCCTCTCCCCTTATCTCACAGTAACTTGACAAATGTAAGTTTTATCTCATTTACATGCAGAGTGCGCATAAATCTCGTTTTGTATTAAAAACAAAATTTTCCGCATTTACGAGGTGATTCTTCTTGTTTATTTTTTCTATTGTTGCATGATTTCGTATAATGCAAAATTTTTTCAGTTTACGAAAGGAACTAGCATGTTATACGAGTAATATCGATATCACCGGATCGCTAATTATGCGCGAAAACATCGTTGAGATCGAAACGCGTCTCGAGCTTAGGAATCGCGCGCGAAGAAGAAAAAATGCTGTTTTCGTTGCATTTTCAACGTTTTCCTCGTGTTTGATGAAACATCATCGCCATCACCGATGAAATCCACCACCACGGGCACTATTAAACCACCACCCCGCCACCTCTCGCACCAGTGGCATCATCGCAACCACCACTACCGCTACTACCACCACTGCCGCCGCTGGCATCACTGTCAACGCCTCCCGGTGCTCGCCGGCAGCGCTTGCCAGCTCTGACGCTGTCCGCGGCAGTGTCCTTCGAACACGGCATGCACGTATCGTGCTGCGAAAGTTTTACGAGTCTCGCGGTGTGTTTAAAGACGAACCTTGTTCGACACCGACGCCGGCGTCGCCGTCGAGACGTGTGAGACCCGGAACACCGGGAGAAACGGCGCATCCAACTCTCGTTAAAAATCCGCCTCGAATCTCCTTCCTAGGCTCGACTTATGCACGCAGCGTGTGTGTTGGAAAACAGGTTTTTAACTATTACTTTCGTCCGCGTGTTTTCGCGGTTGATTCGCCCGCGCGAGTCAGCCCGCACAGCACAGGAGGAGCGTGTGGGTCATTTTCTTTTTTTTCTTTTTCTTTTTTTTCCGTATCTTTCTCTCTCACTCTCTGTTGTTGTGTGCGGCGAGATCGTTGCGTTTGCCTTCTCTCAAATACTTTATTTTGAAGAGAGAGCCGCTTGTGATCGAGACTTGTGCCACGATCGTGTGTCGTTTGACGCTGGCCACGCGGACGACGAGTGCGAAATCATTGAATTTGAATTGATTTGTTTATCGGTATGAGCACGCGCCGAAACAACACTCTCGCGTACCATTCTGACGGAAATAATCGTCAAAACTGCCTGAACTGGAGTACAATGTGTGGATAGTGACAGCGATCAGGTCCTCATTTGTTACAACTCTTATAACAGCGATAAGGCAAGGGTAAAAAAAATTAATCATTGTCGACGACAATGACATTTTATAAAAAAATTCGACCGATATTATAGCAGTTTGTAAGTTTAAAAACCGCTCGTCTTCAAAAGATGTTTAAAGAATCAATGGTGTGAAACGCTATAACAATAAGTTAAGAAACAAAAAAGATGGGGAGAACAATTATATGTCAGGGAAGACAGAGATTGTGCTTTCGCGACATTGCGAAATGTCAACGCGAGAACCGGTCGAAATTTCAAAACTACCGCGCTATTTTGATACTAGCCAATCTTGCGGCGATAGTTTTTTTTTTTGCAATCGTGCGCGCGGGAAACGGAAAGAAAATGGAGTATTTTTTTTCCTATTGAGGAAGATCGAAGAAATAAGGAAATAATAGATCGAAAAAATGAGTAAATGAGAATACTACGAGTTGAAAAGAACAACCAAATCAATTTACGAAGAATACTTTTTAATTGCAATCCGAGTTGCAATCTATTTTAGATTGCTCGTAATTTTTCTTTTAGCTTTTGGGAGATATACAGGGTGATTCAAGACAAAGCAAATTTCTTGCTGTAAAATTTTGTGTCTTTCTAAATCAAAATGTAGAATCGATCGTTTCTTATATAAGATTTTTATTTCGTTTTCGAGAGTATTATTGATATTGACACAAAAAAAATAACACAATACATTGTGTGTGTGTGTGTGTGCGTGCGCGCGCGCGCGCGCGTGTGTGAGAAAGACAAAACAAAGGATAACATTGTTCGTGAATGTAATCACACGTATGTATACAGTACGAAATCATTCCATAACAGTATATATCTAACAACAAAATAAGATGGAAGCTTATAGTACAGTATATATACAGTACGAAATCATTCAATAACAGTATATATAACAACACAAAATAAGATGAAAGCTTATGAAACTAATTCCACGTTTCAGATGTAGATCGGAAGTTTCTTGCCTTTTCGGATTTCATATAATTTTTTTTTTTTTTTTATTTCTGTGTACAATTTACATTCTACAAATATAAAATGAAATATATTTAATCAAATATAAAAAGTATCTTTAGCCAATAAGAAATATCAAAAAGATTCGTATAAAACATCGTTCTTGAATCTTGATAAAGTAAACTGAAATGTTCACACGACGCGATTCAAGTTAGAAAATCGCAACTTCAGGAATATAAATATACAAAACACATGAAAATAAATTCTTAAAGATATTTACGCGATGTTATTAACAAAATTGGCTCTCGCTAAGCTCTTTTTTAACTTGATTTGTTTCAAAGTTTGCGAACATTTAATTTTATTAAAAACATTCGAGAATTGTGTGTGTGATTGATTGATCTTTATTTAACTTTCTCAGCTATTTTAAAAATACAGTTTTAACAAACATTTGCTATAACATATGTTTTTAACATTCTTTTAAACGATTCGAGTCTTTTTTTTACTTTTTATTTCCGCCGGTGTAAGGCGTTGTACATTTTTATCCCTTCATAAAACATACTTTTTCACTAGGAGTGGCATCTCTATTCCAAGAGTGACATCTTCTCTCCAATATATATAATTTTTGAATTACGCGAAATTCATTTGAAGATCGCACGTCACGATATTTTTTTGCTAGAGAAAATATCAGAGAATTTAAAAAGAGAAGAGCAAAATACCGCGATTAGTGCGCGATTATCGGTTTTATTATTTAGTCGCGTAATATTTTTTTTCCACGCAGCACTCTTTTTCGAAGCCCATGCGTGGGCACGGCCGTCGTTGCGCGCATTAATCCGTGGTTTAGCGAACCAATTTAAATATCAGCGGCGCGCTCGACGCAATTTTATATCATTTCCGATATCACGCGCTTGTGTGGGTGGGTTTAACGCTGCGAAAGCCCTCTTGCCCTCTCTCCCTCCTTCCCTCGGCTGGTCTATACTTCCCTTTCCCCGTGCGCGCCTTTACTGCCCCCTTAACACGAACCGTTACGCACCTACACCAGATATGCGTGTTTTGCGATGCGTGTCGTCGCGTACCTCTCCGTCTTCTTCGTCGTCGTCGTCGTCGTCGTCGTCGTCGTCGTCGTCATCATTGTCGTACTTCTCGTCATCGCCGTTTGTAAACGAGCGTGTGACCGGCTCTCGTATGCGCGATGTACATAACGTCGTCACACGACGTGCTTGCGGTATCTCGTGAGTGAGTGAGCGAGCGCGCACGCATGCGCACGTGCACGCACACACTGCATACAGGGTATGCGCGTAACGTTTTCAAAGCATAATTGAGTCAACGTTACGTGTCGTTGTAAAATACACGTTAATATTTGTTATTTCGAATTGGTTATTCGATTCTTGGTAGAAAAATGATTTTGAAACTCGCTGAAAATCATTTCTGCGAAAAATAAAGCAATCCGCTTCGCGTCCGTTGGACTTCCGACCGCGTTCCACGAAGTCGCGGGAGACGATCCCGCGCGTTCGGGACACCCTTTACATGCGCATAGGAAGAACGCGCAGCCGGCCGGCCGGTAAACGTGCGTGCGCTGGCGCGCGAATCAGTGCGCGGCCGAATGCGTCGCGTATGTGTCGCGTCAAATAATTTTGCCCCACGAGCGATCTTTTTTTTTTTTTATTGCGTTGCGCAAAAGGGAAGAGGTGTTCGGAAGCCGCTTAAACACGCAGCGTGTGTTCGCTACTTGTACAGTGCCGCGTCGAAAAACCGGACAGCAACAAGTGACTTTTGTCGGTTAAACACCGACTGGACGCGATTCGGAGTGTCCCCTCCCCCGCCTCAGCAGAGTGATCCTCGGACGGTACGCGCGGCTTCTTTGTTTCCGCGATGTGTTCGTACGGTCGGGCTTTGCGCGCGTGAGAACCAATGAGAGGGTGGGGAAGCGGGAAAGATCTGGTGTTCGCCTAAAAGTTCTTCACTGCGTAAAGAGAAGTCGAGTTTGACAAAACTAATTTATATACGGAAACGGTTCCACATCGGTCGGAGCGCTACAACAGAGCGGACACAAAACAAACATTTATAAACTGCGCCGGTTTTTTTTTACATAAGAAGCGGATTCCCTATGTAGGGATATATGATTCTAGCGTCGAAAAAACGAGCTCCTTGGTGAGTGAGAAAAGAAAACAAAATTTTCTGTCAAAGCGCAGAGATAATTTGAGGATTTGTAACAAGACTCGTTCCTTCTGTTTGTTGACGCGTGTTGTTGTTGCCAAACGCTACCTTTTCTCGCAGATTTCGCCATTCAAGATCCTACACACAAATATGATTGACTAATACTTACTTCGGCGTTCACTTAGGGAATCGCACGCAAGCGAAAGAGAGCCGAAAACCTAAGAATAAACGCGCATCTGAAAGCCCGTTTCCGTCGCTCCGGGGAGTTTCGGAGCCTATAAGCCGAGAGAAGGAAGAGGGCAAAAATGAGCGCCGCTCGCGGCAGCAGCAAGCAAAAAAAGGAGCTTCGGGTACACTTTCGCCGACCTCGCGATGCCGGGCCGAGAGAGCGTCCAAGCTCTCTTCGGCGCGACAAAGGCCGCTTGATTCAAGGTCCTACGGATGTACCAACGCGCGCCGCACGCACACGTTGGCCCTTCGTTGTAAAACGCGCGCGCGACCCATTCGTCCGCGGCTCGCCGCGTCGAGGACGTGGTTCTAGAGTCTCTTCCATGAGATACATCTCTCGTTTGGAAATCAATTAAACGCGTTTTTTGAATAACGAAATTTATTTTACGATTGTAAAAATTCGTGTCTTTCAGAAAAATGTCTTCTTCCGAGATATTTCTTTGTTCGATTGTCTTGTAAAAAATTTATATCGGTCGGTTCCTTGAAAGAATTACGTATTCTCGAGCAAGTATTCTCGATTGTTCGAGCGGTGAAATTTTTCTTACTTAACGTTGAGAAGCGCGAATTATTTTCGGAGCGTAGATCTTGAATGGGATTAATATTATTGTTATTATTTAATTATTAATTATTATTATTTTTATGGCGAAAAGCGTAGTGAATTTTGACTGGTTCTTAACTTGTGTGCTGAATGTTTCTTTTTTTTTTTTTTTTATTCACGTATTTATTAACCCGCTTCTTTTCGCCGACGACGTTGCGGTAATTCCGGTGTCACGCCGCAATAAAAATGAGTGTGCTCTGTTTTTTTCTTGTCGACGCGCGATAAACAAGCTGAGAATAGTTTAAGAGGTAGCATTAACAACAAAGGATAGGCTGAATGCAGTAGCATAACAACAAGTAAACAAGCTGACGTTGGTTTGAAGGCGAGCCTAACAGCGAGACAGTCTCATTTTACGAAAGTGCAGTCGCACAAAGAGAGCCTTGTTCATTTGAAAAAAAAAAAAAAAAAAAAAAAACTGTTCTTCTCTCGCGAAATGCGACACATTACATGAGAGTTAATAAATTTGTAATTAATCGATGGAGTGTTGATGAAAAAGTCGTTTTTCTTCTTTCGTCACACAGGAACTCGGATCGCACAATGATATTTTATTAAAAAAAAAAAAAAAAAAAAACCAAAAAAGTAACCTCGTGAATCGAAGAAAAAGCGCAATTTTTCTGCGGCGACGTTTCCGTTAGCGCGCGACGCACGGCTAATATTAATTCCAAGCGTGTGGAATCTCTGGGTCTCTATGGCAGCTGGTTTATATGCGCTTCTTGGAATTTGCGTCCCGCGAACGAAAGAATCCGAAAACGACTTCGTTCTCTGTCGCAGTTCTATATGCAGTGTCCTAAAAACGATGTCACAGCTTACGTTACACGTTTTATCCCCCCAAGATTGCGCCGCGCGAATATTTTCTTCCTGTGTATAATCAAAGCTTCTGTCAATAATTGGCTCAAACTTGCCGGAGAAAACTTCAAACATCAAATATGATTGTTGAAGTAAACAAATTGCCGCGAAATAATAGAACATGTATATACGTTGCTCATTTTGGCCGATTTCTTTCGGTCACACATTTAATTAAAAACAAAAATTGAACGAACTGTAATTTTGCAGGAAAAAAACATACTAATCTTTTGATTATGAATATTATTTGTTTATTTATTCGGAAAAAAATGAAACATTCTATTATGAAATCTGACAATTGATACGTACTTTTTTTTCTGAATCACCCTGTATACGACCGGCGACGGTATTGAATTTTTGTGTATGCACCTACAGTCGATTCGACGAAAGTGCAACCGGAGATGGCGGGCTAACGGGTGTCACGAACTATATTTACGCACGTTATAAAAGTTCAGTCACTTTCTGAATCTGGATTTTTTTTTACAAAACACGGCTAGCTTTTGCAGAAACAACAATTGGATTTTTTCACTTGTTTTCTCATATCGTGCTTATTTAACAACTTTGGTTCGATCAACGAGAAGCAATTCTTTCCAGTTCGCGTTTATCGCTATTGTTTCACAAACCGATTTGTGTCGAAGTCGTTTTAAACAAAGAATAATGCTATCGTTGTCTGTCTGTACGTTACATATCAAGATTCCGTGACCTTTAAAGACTAAAGTTCGCGATATTCAGTCTGATTTATGGACATTGGCAAAGTTCAGTCGCCGAGAAACAAAACCCTTGCGAAGGTTTCTTAGTGTAAGAAAAAAAAGTTTATAGACACAATCCAATCCAAGTTATTATCTTGCCTCACACGTATACTTGCGTACACGCAGGAGTAATTAATTCAAAGAAGACAGTGAACAAAACCCGCAAATTAAATAAAAAAAGAGAAACGAAATAGACGTTAGACAAAGTTAGAATCGCGTTGTTTGGAAAGCGAAACCTTGAATAAGATCTGCGCTGGTACGCGCGCGCGTTTAAAGCAAACGGTATCACTCACGTGCAACGTGAAATAGCAAAAGCATCTTCGCAAGGTCGAGCCACAAGCGAAAGTGCCTGGCCAAACGACAGTGCAAGTTTCCAGCGATAGCGAAAGTACCGAGCGGTCACAGCTGTAAAGCTATTACAGTTTGGGGGCGGAAAACGAGGCGGCGGATGAAGATACCGAGAAGGGGAAGGGATGGAAAAGCAACCACTATATAGCGAGAGAGCTATCGCTCTCTATGTTCTACATATATCTGCGCGCTCTTTGCGAGAACTCGCATGCGCTTACACACGTGCGCGTTGCGACACAGTACCGAACGCAGTGTGACAGCAGAACTATATTTTCTCAGCAGACTTTACGTTTGTAAAATCGGAACAATTATTAAGGTTACGACTGTAACAGTTTTCTTCATAATGTTGTTTTGTTCACACGTTGTTTCTTTTTTTCCAAAAAAGTTTCTTGTTTTTTCGTGTGTGACTACGATTTTATGCTAAGTAACGTTTTCATGTTGTTTTCATCCACCCTGTGGAAGAGTTTATATGAGAGAAAGAGAGAGAGAGAGAGAGAGAGAGAGAGAGAGAGAGAGAG